GAGCGAGTGCCAGGACAGCCTCCAAAGCCACAGGGAAACCCTGTCTCGAAAAACAAAACAAACAAACAAAAAGAACACTGACTGCTCTTCCAGAAGACCTGTGTTCATTCCCAGCACCCAAATGGCAGCTCACACACCCATCTGTAAACTAACTCCAGCCCCATGAGAGTCCCTCCCCACTTTGGGGAATCTCCCCTACAATGGCAACAGGTACAAATGTGGTTTATAAAGACAAGAAAAAATAAGATCTTTAAAAACAAATTACATTTTTCATTAAAGAAGTAGGAATTTGGGAGTGGAGGGCTGATTACTCAGTAGTTGAGAGGACTGGGGGTTGATTCCCAGCACCCACACGCTGGTTAACATGTCTAAATCCAGCTCCAATGAATCTAACACCCACTTCTGGCCTCCACAGGCATCAGACACACACATGACACACAAACAAACATGAAGACAACATGTGCATAAAATAAAGTAATAAAGTATATATTTTTAAAGAAAAAAAGTAGGAGTTCATGAAGGTATTGCCAACCCTACAGTGGAGGAAACTGATGCTAGACACATATAAAACAACTTGGCAAGTGATTCAGGCCCCACTGAGATACCCAGCATATCATAAGCTATCCAGAATGTCACCTGCTCAGCCTTCCCTAGAAGGGACCTTTGAGCCCTCCTGTTGATTAAATGAGGACACTGGGAACTGGAGATATGACTCAATTGTAGACTGAGTTTCTATCCCACCTGGTCTCACAGCCATATAGCCCCAAATAAACACACAGAGGCTTAATTATAAACTTTTTGACTGATGGCTTAGGCTTCTTACTGGCTAGCTCTCTCTTAATTATTAACCCATAACTATTAATCTATGTATTTCTACATGGCCTTATCTTACCAGAGAATGCCGAGCATCCTATCTTCCTGGTAGCTACATGACATCTCCTGGTGGCTCCTCTCTGCCTTCCACTTCCCAGAATTCTCCTAATCTGGTAGCCCCACCTATACTTCCTGCCTGGCAATTGACCAATCAGTGTTTTATTCATCAACCGATAAAAGAAACATATATACAGAAGGACATCCCCATCATTAAGTAGTTAAAAGCACCTACTCTTGAGGAGGACTTGAGTTTGGTCTCCAACTCCAGGGGCATCCAATGCCCTCTTCTGGCGTCCTCAGCAATTGCACTCATGTGCATATACCTGTACAGTATGCACAGTCACAAAAATAAATAACATATTTTCTTTTTCGAGACAGGGTTTCTCTGTGTAGCTTTGGAGCCTATCCTATGTGTATGTGTGTGTGTATGTATGTATGTATATATGTATATACATATACATTTTTGAAATAGAAGGTTTCAATATCCATTTTATACATTCCTGTTTTGATGTTTTACAAGGGGGCTGGAGAGATGGCTCATTGGCTAAGAACACGAGCTGCTCTTCCGGAGGATCTGGGTTCAATTCCTAGCACCCACATGGCACTCACGACTGTCTGTAACTCCAGTTCCAAGAGATCCAACACCTTCACATAGATATAATGGGGATGAAACACCAATGCACATAAAAGATTAAAGAAAAAATCATTAAAAAAATTTTAAAGAATATTTTTAAATGAGGAAACTGGGGCCCTAGAAACAGGCAAGACAGTCTCTAGGGCCTCAGCCAATCCACACACCTCTGTCTGCCTCTCCAGCCAGGCCTGGCAACACCCAGGCCCCAGGCAGTCACCAACATCATCATCATCTGTGTCCCCTGCTCCCCTGTAGAACTGCCCTCCTCCGAGCATCTGAGCGTGGCTGATGCCACCTGGCTGGCTCTGAACGTGGTGTCTGGTGGCGGCAGCTTCTCCAGCTCCCAGCCCATCGGTGTGACAAAGATCGCCAAGTCTGTCATTGCCCCACTGGCTGACCAGAACATCTCCGTGTTTATGTTGTCCACTTATCAGACTGACTTCATCCTGGTGAGTCACATCTGTGTTGTGCACATGCCCAGCCTTCTCTGTGTAACACACACACTGACTGCTTCTAGTGCACGCATTGTCCTGTCCCATCTGCTGCTCTGCCCCTCACCTCAGCCCTGTGCACTGCCACAGGAGGTGGGATGAGCCGGGACTCGGGGACTCTGCTTCTCACCCTCAGGTGCGTGAGCGTGACCTGCCCTTTGTCACTCACACCTTGTCCTCGGAGTTCACCATACTTCGGGTCGTCAATGGAGAGACGGTAGCGGCTGAGAATCTCAGTGTCACCAATGGCTTTGTGAAGCCCAAGATGGGTGAGTTGGGATTAAGGGGAATACCCCCAGAAGAAAGCTCGGCTCTCAGACTCCAGCTGGTGCTTACTAGAATCCAGGTGGAGCAGCCATCGACGGCCAGAGATGACTCCCATCTCAGCCCAGCTCATGATCAGGGTGGCTGCCTATGGAGCACTGGGAGCTCAGCCAGATGGTGGCTGTTGGGAAGGACTTTCTCAGCAGCCAAGCAGCTTATACAAAGGCCCAGGGTCCTGAAGGGAAGTTTAACAATCAGTGCAGTGTGTGCTGAGGGTGAGAAAGCCACACAGGCTTGAACAAAGTCTGAGGCTTGGCTCAACTCCTACACACAAAAGCACTGCTCTGGCATTTTGTTGATTTGTTTTGTTTTTCGAGCCAGGGTTTCTCTGTGTAACAGCCTTGGCTGTTCTGGAACTTGCTTTGTAGACCTGGCCTTGAACTCACAGAGATCTACCTGCCTCTGCCTCCCAAGTGTTGGGATTAAAGGGGTGTACCACCACCGTCTGGCTCTACTCTGGCCTTAATACTTATGTTCTGTGCTCTTTCAGTCAAGAGGCCAGTCATCCACCCATTATCCAGCCCCAGCAACAGGTTCTGTGTCACCAGCCTGGACCCTGACACACTGCCTGCCGTCACCACACTCCTCATGGATGTGATGTTCTACTCCAATGGGTAGGTCCCTGGGGTGAGTTGCTGAGGCCAGGGGTGGACATGGAAATACCACTCCACCCAGGAGCCCTGACTGAGGGCAAAGACCTTATTCTGCCCAAGAGCTCAGTCTGAAGGAAGGAAACTACTGACACTACCCATAAGTCCAGTCTTCAGGAGGAGGCACATTCTACCCAGCAACCTAATCACAGATCTGCCCTGGAAACAAGTCTAAGGGAAGAGGTGTGGTTCCACGTAGGAGCCTGTCTTTCTTAGGGTTTCTATTGCTGCGTCAAAAACACCATAACCAAAAAGCAAGTCAGAGAGGAAAGGGTTTTTTTGGCTCACATTTCAGCATTGCTGTTCATCATTGAAGGAAGTCAGGACAGGAAATCAAACAGGGCAGGGTCCAAGAGGCAGGAGCTGATGCAAAGTCATGGAGGGGGGCTGCTTACTGGCTTGCTCAGCCTGCTTTCTTTTTGTTTGTTTGTTTGTTTGTTTTTCGAGACAGGGTTTCTCTGTGTAGCTTTGGAGCCTATCCTGGCACTCACTCTGGAGACCAGGCTGGCCTCGAACTCACAGAGATCTGCCTGCTCCTGCCTCCCGAGTGCTGGGATTAAAGGCATGTGCCACCAACGCCCAGCTTCAGCCTGCTTTCTTACAGAACCCAGGACTAACAACCCAGGGATAATACCACCCACCAGGGGCTGGATGAGCTGGACCCTCCCCAGTTGATCACTAATTGAGAAAATGCCTTACAGCTGAATCTCATGGAGGCATTTCCTCAACTGAGGTTCCTTCCTCTCTGATGACTCTAGGTTGTGTCAAGTTGACATAATACTAGTCAGTACAGAGCCCAGTCTGAGGAGTGAGGCACTGCTCTACCCAAGAACCCAGACTGAAGGGGAAAACATATATGTGCCTATCATGTAGCTCTTACATTCTTCCCACCCTCTCTCTCATGGTTTTTGAACCTTGTGATGGGGTCAACAGTCACTGTCAGCACTTTGACTGGGTAAGTCTATATGTTAGTTGCCACCTAATGTCTCCTCTCTGGCTGCAGCTGGAGCAGGATTAATCCATGAGTCTGAATATAAATGTCTAGAAGGCAATATAACAATAGGTTTTTCACTAAGGCCTGTGACCCCTGAAGCCATAGGCTTTTGACGAGGTTTATGGTACATACAAACGTCGTCATGTAAACATGAATTTCCCCCTGTGAAGTGGAAGGCGATTGCTTAGCCCAGTTACCATCATGCCACTATGGCACCAGAGGTCACATCCTACCTGGAAGGTCAGTAACGTAGCATTCGGGGTCTGTGACCTCCTGAGTCATGGGCTTTGGATGAAAGCAAAACACAAGGCAGGACAACCCTTCCTGCCAGACTGGTAGGTGACGGATAGCATGGAGGATGTGGCAGAAGCCACACCCTCACAGTTCCCTCTTGATCCCCAGAGTGAAGGACCCCATGGCTGCCAGTGACGACTGTGGCCACATCCGCTTCTTCTCCTTCTCACTCATTGAGGGCTACATCTCACTGGTGATGGATGTACAAACCCAGCAGAGGTGGGCAGGGCCCTGTGTGGATATTAAGGGGGCCTGGGTGGGAGCATGAACTTCCTTCCTAGTCCTTCTGCCCTGCTCCCTTCATGAGAGATGTTCCTATAGGCTCTGGGTCTGCCAAGGTCCACAGCATGATGGTGCCAAAGTGGAGATTTGAACCACAGTCCCAGCGCCAGCTGTCCCCAGGGTCTCACCCCAGCATTGCCTTCCCTCCTTGCCCCCAGTGGGACTGACATATCCTTGCATCCTGTGTTCTGACATACCTGAGGGACAGCCACTGTCACTCTGGCCCTCCAATGCCCACCCCCCATAAAGCAGAGAAGGTACCCCAGAGCTGGGGGAGCAACAGTTAGCACCAGCCTCAGATTCCTCTTACTTCCTTCTTCTAAAGGTTCCCGAGTCATTTGCTATTCACGAGTGCATCTGGAGAGCTCTGGAAGATGGTGCGGATAGGAGGACAACCCCTGGGATTCGGTGAGCCCCTGGGGTCCAA